GTAATGGTGGATAGTGGCTAGCAGTGGGATCCAGGATGCGTATTTCGTCCTATTTGGAACTCGTCAGCTGGATGCACCTCCAACCCAGTGACTTATGTTGTTCCCACTGGGACTCGAACCCTGTACCCATCGCTTACAAAAGCCAAAGGGTCATACACTATGCCACGGAGGAACAATAGCCACTTCTTTTACAACGGATAGTAGTTATTATTATTTATTGATATACTTGTAGTTCTACGTTGTTTTGTTGGATCGAACTCACCGACCTCTATTCGCATAAAGGCTTCTATGCGGATGTCTCGATGTCGCCTGAGTGTCGATTACGGTAATTTAGTTGGTTATGGCTAGCAGACGAATCCAGGATGCGCGTTTCTCCTTATTTGGGACTCGCCAGCTGGATGTACCTGCGCTCCAGTATTGTTTTTGTCCCCACTGAGACTCGAACCTTGTACCCAACACTTCAAAAACCAAGGCTTTATCCACTAGGTCACCAAGGCACGATAGCTACGGCGGAGCGCGTAGGTCAGTTGGTAAAGCATCGGCCCGGAAACCAAGTGGTCGCTGGGTCGAATCCGGTCCGAATTTTTACCTCACCTTCAATCATCACCCAGTGTAAATAGTAGTCTGCAAATTACGTCTATCTCACTTAGTCAAATGATAATCATAACAATTACCATTACTGCTTTTACTATCATTATTACAATTGTAACGCAAACATGGCACAGCAAGACCAACAAGAAACGCGTCACATAATATAATAGAACAACATTATGAAGACAAAGCAAAAGGTACTGGAGGAAAAACGAAAAACACAATGAGAATATAATGATTAGAAAGGAAGTCCAATAAGATACAATCGAAAAAGACATTCATCATTTTTCAAAAGCAAAAATAGAAGGAAGCTACAGCATGACAGCCAGTGGTTTTGATTCTGAGCTATATCTGATTACGTCTCAAGTCACTGAGTTGCGTGTTCTCTCGGACCCCACCCATAGGCTCGTGAAGCACCAACACATGCTAACCTAATACAACTATCCTTTATCCCAGAGCGTCACGTCACACAATGACCATCCATCAGCTTCTTCCATCCAGTTCAAGGGCTAGCAAACAGTGAACAATTTGGAAACCATTGCGACGACATGCCTGACACATGTCAAAGCCACCAAAGTCAGTGTTTCCCGATAAATTCACATACTGAATGACGATATCCTTCATGCCCATAATTACCTGAGAATTACTTATATGGTGTTGCCACTGGTTACGAGCTATCCTGCAGAGACAACGGTGTTTTCAAACATACAGAGTCGTCATATATCCTCAGCTTTGAGAGGCCAGGTTTCACAGGTACTTACTAGGACTGCTCCCACCAAAGCGTTGTAAACCCGATCTTTTACGGTCAGACTAATATCGCGATGGAGCCAAAGTTTGCCAAGATTGACGTATGCCACTCTGGCTCTCGTTACAGTGTTAGAAATTTCATCACACACAACTGCCCACATTCCAACACCTCACCGCCAAGAGTGAACGTAGGCACAGACTTCTGTCAATTTTGCTAAAGTACTTTGCGCTTCAGCGGTGCAAAGCATATACCATACTTAACGGAAACTGATCGCAAACTGATTAAGTGCAAATTCAGTAGCCTGTGTGTTATTGTACAGTAAGACCACATCGTTCGCATATTCAAGATTGAATACCTTTTCTGCTCTTAGCAGATGTATACCACCACCACGTACCTCCTTTAGAGCTGTCTCAAAAATCCCATCTGGGCATAAACCACAAATGTCATGGTCAATAAAGGAGGAATGCTTACATAGAATAGAAACAGAACTGATAAAGTGGTCGTTCATTGCATACCAAAACTGCTAACCGACCACTCTTATGAACGGCACCCAGCGGCGAAAATGATTCTCGCGTACAACTAGTCTGGAAAATTTATCTGCGAACAACATAAGTTGATTGCCTAAACCAACCCATCTGAAGTTCTGCCCACTCTAGATTACTCGCCACGTGATCTGACTCATGCATTACTCATAGTTTTTACAAGCCTGGAACAAAAATAAATACCAGCTAGGGCAGACAATGGGCTGTGTGAAAGTAAGCTAAGATCCAATAGGCAAAAAGATATGTGACAACCACCAGGATCCCGTCAGTCTCTGGTTATCACGTGAACCAAGCATTTCAAACGCTGAAACTCCCAATACCATGCACCAAGAAACTGAAAATCACCAAATTCCAAATACTGCAATCATGCTAATTCTATGGGGATCGGTGACACATGCTCAGGACCCAATTTTGACCACATTCCCTTCCCAGAATAGCGTATTTAGGCATTTCAACCCACTCGGAAAGCCTTAAATTGTATGCATAGTAATGTTGAAGGCTTAAAAGTGAAGGTATCGGAGATTATAAGCACTCGTTTACCACTTGCATTGCAATATATTGTTGGAAAACAAAGCCTTCGACTTCATCAGACACTTCTCATGAAGAAATGTACGTATTGGTAGAAGTGTCCTTTCACAGAAGTAGAAACCTCGCGGGGAAGAAGGGCATCCGTCTAGGTTTAAATGTGAAGCGTGAACTTGTTACACAACTTATGAACTTCTAGTAGTCATACTTCGTGCTAAACAGCACCAATTAGCTGAATGCAGTTACACATAGATCTCTGACACCTACTCTTGACTGCAAGTAAATCATCGATGCGCTCTTGGCTACAACCACTACATTAGTATGAGTTTCGTACCAATCAAATGTAAGATGATGCCGCAAGACTGATCTGCAACTAATCTCAATTCAAGAATAGGCAGTGGTGAAATGGGGGAATATGTCGAACATCTCGTTTCAGGAGTTGTGTCAGCCCAGACAAGCTGGTAGCTGATGATATCTCAGCTTGGATAGAGAAGGTTCGTCTGCTGTTACTCAACTTGAGTCACCTTCAACGCCAACCAGCGAGATTTCCAACCATCTACCAAAGGAGGAGTATATTGCATTGTAGTCCGTTCCGTGCAGTTATGCGGCTATGAGACATGATCATCAGAGGTATTAGACAAGAAGCGATAACAGGGTTTTCAGCACAGATGTTCCTGCAGCATTCCTTGCGCTTGGTAGAATCAGCGTATGAGTAATGTTGAGGTCAGGCGAAGGATACTTTGACAGACAGGCGAGTCGACTGATGAATCTGCGGACCTTCACCGATTGAGATGGCTTGGATATGTACAATGCATGCCGAGCCACTGACATTTCTTCTACGAGCTATACAGAAGGAAGATATACTACGTTGAAACAGGGTTCAGAGTGGCCAGGGGAGGACATCACACCAATCCATGAACTCTTGATGTTTATTTGAACCATGTGGAAAGACAGAGACTATCTGGATGGTGTATTTAAGACAGAAGGAATCAACAGCTGAGGACTCTTGGTTAAAAGGATGGAAATTATTCATAGTGACGCAGATGCACTCACTCTTTTACATCCTATAAAGCTGAAATATTCGCACTTACCTTTAGATTCAAAATTAAGGTTCTCTATTACAACTACGTCTATCACGAAATCACATATTACATCCACTTGTTCACTGTATACTACTGTGAAGTGTGGCAACTTGAGCCGAAACACATATGTGCAACATTTCATGTTGGTTTTATCTACCTGGCAACCTCAACATATTACGAATGAGAGACCATCACCGGAAACTGAAACACGCCATGAATCCACTACGGCGGAGGAGGAAAACAAACCAATAGATCTTTGTGTTAAATTCTAAAGCACGCGTTCAAAACAAGTGGTAGCCCTGAGACAACGGACAAATCCATCCAGTCGTAGCTTAGTGGGAAAACATCACACCTGGGATACATCTTGATGAGTACTGATTTCATTTAAAAACATGTATGTTCAGACGCCTCTTGGTCGGAGTGGTAACAAAAAAAAATTCTGCAGTCGAAAACACTTTAAACCATCCTCTTGTTACAGTAAAGCAAACTGCGACACCAAGAAAGCTATTTTGCTGGTGCGCTAAGGTCTCAAAACTGAAATTACTTCACGACACATCAATAGTGAAGAAAGTTCGGATGAATAGTTCTCGAGACTATTCATCATCGTGTGCCACAGGGAGCATACGAACCATACTTTACAACCTCATGGTGGAAGACAGATAGTCATACAGACAGAAATACCAGTCAAGCTTAAATGGAGCCCGTCATGAAATGAGTTGTATTTGAGGAATCCCGAAAAACGGCAGCTTATACCCCATCGGAGATCACCGCGACAGGCTTAAACGGCAGTAAAACAAGGAGAGGAACTGACAAATTAAACCAACCGATCAACATAACAGCAATTTTTTCATAACAAGGCCAATAGAGACACGTCGAGCAGATTAGAGACAGACGCGCTGCTGAGCTAACTATCTGAAGTGCAACCTAATACTTCCGACACCCAACTCATATCGGACAGAAACAACACTAGACTAACTGATGGCGGTGAAACCAAGTGTCACATTTATTTTACGCAGAAAAATGTATTCGACAAACCATTCGTACTGACTTGGAAAGTTCGCGGGGTGCAATAATATGGAAATATTAGCCCATACAAATGGATCAGACACTCAACAAACCTACATGTGGACGGTTCGGATGATCAGTCAACTCTCCAAAGAGTGAAAATGTCCCACCCTGATGTTTTATGCTGATTGGTAATCCTAAAAACTTCATGAAATTAAGGGGATTAGAGTTAACGAGAAAATACACTACATTGAGAAACCATTTGAGAGTAAAGGAAGGTAAAGCGTCCATAAGAAACAGAAACAGAGAATATACAAATTGTTCGATGCACCAAAAACAGGTAATATGTTTGGGGAAACTTGTTGTACACTGAGTAAACGTGGCAAACAACACATAGTTTCTTAATGGGAAATTGTGATGTCAGAGAGTTTTATGATGAGCAAATAAGTGTCATTAGGGTCCTTGAAAATCAATCAGCCAGCCAAATTCTGATTTAATCCAACTTACCTCGATAACAGCATAAACAACTGCAACCTTTACATACGCGCCATCCATACAGAAACAATTTCCGAAATTCAAACAGGTGATGCAAGGTCCAATGTCTTTTGAACGAGTGCAGCTGGCTGACAGCCTTCGAAGTTTCGTATCACTGATTAGCTTTGCTAGTCAAAAAATGAGATGAAATACAACCAGTTATCCAACTTCATGGGAACAGGAGAAAACAGATGTATTTCTATGGCGGCCTGCTTAAAATTTTGGGCAACGAAAATGTAAGCATCGTATACCACATCAAATTACTCCTTTTGTACTTTTCTGACTACTCAAATGGCAAACAACAATAAAACTTACTCTCGTGCATATGTAGTGTCCCAATCGATCATCACACAGGTAAGCAACAAAACTGCAGAAGATATAACAGAGTAGATGACGTGAGGCTCTTGAGCACAGCAGCTCATCACATAACCATTACAGAGATAGTTTGCAGTAACTTCAGACTCCTATGACTGGCCAAGTGACCCTTCGCAATCAAACCTATGGGTGCTACTCTACTCGTTCCCCCATGCAACAACGTACCCAAAAATTAGATGACAACCTAAATACAGCAGGCCATCGTGTACAATTGCTTAGTATACCACTAAGAAGTTCAGAAACCTCCTATGGATCATGGTAACCCATACCTTCACACTCTAAATGATTTACTAAGAAGTCTTTGGTACTTTTTCGCTTTCGCCGGATACTGCAAAGGCTTAGCGTTTCGGACAACCTATCGAGGGCCCTACGCTCCTCAGCCAGTGTTTTATTCGGTTTCTTTCTTGAAGTGAAAAGAGTGTCGTATATGTCTTATTCAGTACATGAACTTCTTTCAAAACAAAGTACTTTCTCTGAGTCTTCTCTGTTTGCGTCGAGTTCTCCTATATGTATATAGAGTTGTTTACGGGCGAGTTTGGTGAGTGCGACTGTTCCCCGAGTGTAACTAATAATCCTGTAAAATTCATCATGGGTTTGAGACAGATTACCACTAGTCAAGGAGTCTTCCCAATTGGAGCATCTTATGGTAACCCCCAGTCAGCATTCTTGATGTCCTTGTGTTGGTAGTACTTTGGTGTTATTTCATGTGCACCCTCAAGAGCTGCTAGAAGTGGTAGAGTGCAAAGCAGTTTGCACCGATCGCTGTCTGTAGATTTTTCTTCTGCCTGTCCGGACAATGGCTTATTGTTGTGACAAAGTATCAGGTCAAGGGCGTTATTGTTTCATGTGGGGGGTGCGCGTATTGCTGCCAACCGTTTGTGTCAATGGCTGCTTGGAGTTGGCTATAGTTTGTGGAACTTTTGCACATGTCCCAGTCTACTCCAAGGAGGTTGAGGTCACCGCAGATTGTCTTAGGATCGAAGTCCACATTAGTAGTGTCCTCGAATGTTTCACAGATGATCTCATCAACTGCTATTGAAGTGTTTAGTGCCCTGTATAAACATCCGTTGAAGAGCTTATGTTCACTGATGGTTGCGTTTTTCCATGCACATTCAGGATTCGGGGTGTCAGTTACAACAGTGCTTTACTCGTAGACAAGACATACGCCTCATTTTTATAAACTCTGTCATGTCTGCATACTCTGTATCTATCGACTGTAATATATGCGTCCGATGTACCTGAAGTTAGCCAGGTCTCTGTAACCAGAACCAGTGCCTGTTACTTTAGTAGTATTCGGGTTTGAAGGGCCGATATCCTTCTGACTATGGATGGCGCGTTAATGACCAGTAGTGTTAGATACGAGGGTTATTGGTGGAGTGAAGGGAGAGAAGTGAGGTCATTGCTTGCTACCACTCATCAGTGTGCTGATATGTATCTCAGTTTTCCCTACTCTTTTTCAAGCTGTGCTGTGCATGAGTGGTAGGTGTCCTGCTTGTGGTTGTCACTGGTAAGCACTATAAGGGAAGATGGTGCCGTTCGGCACATACCTTATTCCAGGCTTCACTACCGGTTATGGTGTCTTCAGGGAGGTAGTAAAGGGGTTCGGCGACAGGAGAGGCGGGCTGTAGGGAAAACTAGACTGTATATTTGTGTTGCCCGGCATGTAGTAATTTTGAGACCAAGGATGGTTCGTCTGTAAGGTGTACGCAGAGTACAGTCCACTATTGAAATTTTTGTTACTTCCTAAGCCCTGTGTTGCAGACCATCATCGACGCGTTGAGTTACTAGGCATATTGTCCCCAGGAGTCGGATTCTGGATTACGTTTGTGGACGACAATTTCATCCCATCATTCCCTAGGCACGTACTTCTGCCGCCCGGTCTGTACCAAAAAGCGGTTAGTAGAAGCAGTCTCTTTCGAGGTCGTACTGGCATTATTCGGAGTGCTGTTTTCGCTTAGCACAGCATATGAGTTCATTCTGCTGGTTTTTGGCCCCTCAGAGCTGCTACTTCTAAAGGAAGCAGTTTGTTCCGATATAAGAGGTTTATTATCATTGGTATGTTTTTGTACCACTTTGTTTCTAAGAGGTCTAAACTGGCTAGATGGGGGCGATTCTGAGTGTATAGGTAGTGTGTCTGTTACTGTCGGTAGGCACATGAAGCATTTTTTTCTCCTTGAGTGATATGCGGGATGTCGAAGTGCCGTACTGGCGTGAGTTCTGCGTTTACTACCCGACGGTGTTGGCCGGCTGATATCATCTTGCCTTGTTTTCAACAGTTGGTAGTAGCCGAGGTAAAGCTTTGAGAGTCTGGTATTTTACCAAGACAGTGTTGGACAAGGACATTATCTTGAGATGAGACACCTGTTTGTCCCCTAGTGGGTACATTGTCGTTGATTACTACCCGTCGTTTTGCTTTTTTCTTCCGAAGTGGGGTTCGTTGTTGAGCTACCTTAGTATGTCTAAACATATTTTTGAGTTTAACACCATCGGTCATCGGAAAAAATTGCCCGCAATCAAGGGCTGATGTGAACTAGAATAAGATAGGCTATGCGAGTTGTAAACCGGTCTTTCGAATCCTTCTACGATTACAAGTAACTTGCGACATACTACAGGCGTCCAAGATCGCAGACTTGGTCTTTGTCGGTGATTTACCTCCCGGGACTTTGTAGACGATGGCTTTTTGTATTGATGCCACTCGTTGTACTGCCTCTGAGGCAGTGAAGTCGATTAGAGTTTCAGCCCACTGTACTTCCTCAGTGTCTACATCTTTGTGTAGACCGAAAAGATAAGTAATGAGTGCGAGCTGCTCGAGTACGGCGTGGGCTTTAGTCAGCTTTGTGTTAGGCTCAATAATTCTGACCTCCTTGAAACTTGCTAAGATATTGAGGCCCGTGACAGCATCATTTATGCCTACGAAAAGATTTTGCGACCCATTCGGAGAGTTTTTAAGCTGCGTTTAGAGTGAATCTGCGGAGCATTCATTTTTCGTGTCCAAGCTATCTGTTTGGGACCTTTTGGCCTTACCGCGTCCCATTACTATGTCAGTGTTTGGATACTGTGGGGTAGATATCTTACCAGAGAAATGTTTCTTCAGTATATCAACTGAGAAGAGGCAGTCAGAGGACCACAGTCAACCAGTTTATTACACAAAAGAGTGGATACTGGGAACAGTGTCTAGTAATGGATCCCAAGGAGGCTGATGATTCGACAGCGCAGAGGAAAAGTGTTTTGTTGGACACTTTTGGTGCTCAAAAGTACAAGATCAGAGGATTGGTAACGTTGAAGTTACAGTTTAACAGATCACGTGTAAATGTAACGCAAGTAAGGAACTCGGCGCAAGTAGTAACGCAAAAAGTGTCCTCAGCTCCGAGCTGCGTGCAACTGACAGTGTGCCACGTTTTTCAGATCACCAAACTATCTGTGTGTCCCGTGTGCATGCTCAGACATTTACCTACGTTGATAGGCATCAGCCACCTGCCTGACCAGGTAAACAAGCTGTTTTGGTCTGTCTGAAGCGCACATATATCATAGACGACTTTATTCTCCTCAGTTTCACGAAGTTTTTAGGATTACCAATCAGCATAAAACATCAGGGTGGGACATTTTCACTCTTTGGAGAGTTGACTGATCATCCGAACCGTCCACATGTAGGTTTGTTGAGTGTCTGATCCATTTGTATGGGCTAATATTTCCATATTATTGCACCCCGCGAACTTTCCAAGTCAGTACGAATGGTTTGTCGAATACATTTTTCTGCGTAAAATAAATGTGACACTTGGTTTCACCGCCATCAGTTAGTCTAGTGTTGTTTCTGTCCGATATGAGTTGGGTGTCGGAAGTATTAGGTTGCACTTCAGATAGTTAGCTCAGCAGCGCGTCTGTCTCTAATCTGCTCGACGTGTCTCCATTGGCCTTGTTATGAAAAAATTGCTGTTATGTTGATCGGTTGGTTTAATTTGTCAGTTCCTCTCCTTGTTTTACTGCCGTTTAAGCCTGTCGCGGTGATCTCCGATGGGGTATAAGCTGCCGTTACTTGTCCAGAAAAGCTTTAAAATCAGCTAACACCCAGTTAGCCAGCGCCGTCGCTGGAATGACATTTCCGGCATTTCCGCTACGGTCTCAGATTTTTTGTTCAAGGTTAAAGCGGCTTGCGCGTATATCGATGATATGTGTTTGCATCTGCTTCAATGTCTGACTATAACGCCTAAGCTTGCCACCTGACTGAGCCACAGTATTGATTTTTGAATATGTATGCTTTAAAAGGCGGACAGATTACAGAGCTCTGGTGACGAAAATACTCATTTCTTTAGGTGCACTAAGAAAATGTTTCTATCAGACTTTGAAAAGGAAGCAACTGTATACCACTTTGTGTAAGCGCTCTCATGATCATTTTGATCGGAAATTCGAGTGGAAGCGGTAAAAGCCTTTCTCAGTCATTGAATATGCTGGGGATACGTGGAGTAGGTTCCCGAATTTGCAAACGAATGCATCGTCCGTATCAGAATACGGTTTGTTTAGTAGCTCAACGTGCGTTCAAAGTAGGGGAGGCACTTATGTTTTTCACCTCATTTGGGAATGTGGATGTAATTTCACGCTTACCGAGGATCGGTGTGCATCTTTCGCCATTACATTCCCTCATTCTGGTATTCAACTTCTATTGATCACTTGTTCAAGATA